ATTGATCCTTGAATTTCTAAGGAATTATTTCTATTGCATATTTTGTAAGACGAAAAGAGCCATTACACATCTTGCTCCTAAATTTCAGAGTTTCAGGGAGTTAGAAGGAGCCAATGTCTATACAAGTACAGGGCTCAACACTTCGGAGTTCTGCGCAGCTTTGGGTGATAAGGCTTACGACATCACAATGAGGAGCCACAATGTTCTTCCCCTTCTTCTTAAATACTAAACCAGCCTTTTAAGCCTTAGTTGCGTGTTTATTGATCTTCGTTAATATTTACATGGTTAATAAGGACGTTTCTTTTCTATGTTTCACATTTGGCAGTGATTGAAAGGCAGGATTAATGGAACAGATACTAAATGTAATTGAATCTATTCAACATTTTATATTTTTCCTTTTATAGTGAATGCTATTCCCCATACCTTTCAAATATTCAAAGTCCTCTAAACCAAGTGTTTTATACTAAATAGCACTGATCAATATTCAGTAGTTCAAACCACAACATTGTTTCATTAATCACGAAATTAATCTCAACTTGTCTCATCCCATATATAAAGTTATCTACACATCAATAGTTTTACTTAGTGAAAGTGAAAACACGTTTGCTGTTTCATTCACTGGTAAGCATTGCTTAGGCGGCTGTCAAATCCAAAAAAAAATTCAGCAACATCTATTGCAGATTAGAGTCAGTCTTTGTTCTTAAGTTTTGTAATTTGAATGATTATGACATTCTGATATAATTTCCTCAGTCAAATTTCCTTTCTGTTGTAGATTTGTAAAAAAAAATTAACCAATCACAGTCATCATTACAGACCTATGTCTCTCACTCACAGAATACTACATACTACACATGTCTAGTCAAATAAAAATTGTCATATTCAGACTCCCGTAGTTCCAGTTGGAAATGTCCATGACTGTACAAGCAATGATCCATAAAATTTCATGAATATTGCACTAAACGAATGCAAACAAGAAAATGTCCTTTTACTTAGATTTTAAACTTTTATTCAGGAAAAACAGTACAAACAAAAATACAAATCTGATAACATAAGGAAAAGAAAAGCCATTTTTTCAAGGTCAAAAAGTTAATAATTCAGTAAATATATTCACAGATTTCTCAATTGTTTTATTTATCATTCTCACGTTACTGCTATTAGTCATTTCTTGTCCACTACTGTGCTAGCAATTTCTGTAGTTTCTTTTGCTTCTTTTTCTTCTTAACAGCCTGAAAGATAAACTTTTATTAACGCCAATATCACTACAATAATGTCATATAGTATTAATTTATAGTTCAATGTAAACAACATTTAGCCAACACTAATACAGTTCCAGGGTGCTAGCTATTCTCACAGGATCACCTGATAAAAAAAAAAAATACCTTAATTTTCTGTAATTTTTCTTTTCGCCAATTGCGTTCGGTGTATTGTCCACATACAGCACGGTCATCTTTGCTCCGTGGATTTCAATATCATCAAGCCTCTCTGAAAACCTTCTCTGCTCTTCTTTGGATTTGTATATCATGTGAGCTAAACTGAAAATATAATCAATGTTATCCTCACAGAAAACAACGTAAAAAAATATATAAACAACCAACTGTTATCCTCACAGAAAACAACATAAAAGAAAATATAAAACAACACTGTACCCTCACTTGATAATGGCAGATTCATTCATATAAATAGTTGGAAGTATAATTACAAAGAATCTGCATTTAAATCTTGAAGTTCAAAGTGTTTTAACCTTACCATCTGTTAGGCATGTAAACAACCTCTGATGCTGTTGTAAACAACTTCTCTAAGTCTTCAAAAGTAGTCTGAACTGGTACATTTTCCATAAACAATCTGCAAGAAAGCAAAAGCAACAAATGTTATAAACTGTCAGTGATTAATAGAATCATCAAGACCATTTCACATCCATTATGACTTTAATGAATACTTTATCTAATTTCTCAATTATATATGGCAAAAACTCACCAAAAATGAACTCACCGAAAAGGGTTTATACAAATGTTATCAATTTCTTTATTTTGCATTCGGTTAACAACAATTACATCATCTCTTCCTCCAATACTGATTTCATCTTCTCAGCCATTTCTTCCGATTTGTAGTTCACAAAGTAAAAACCATTACTGAAAAAAAAAAACACTTATTACTACAAATGAATACATAATAAACAGAATTCACACACACATTAATACAGTATATATTATAATTTATATAAATATATATATAAATATGTATACAATATATATATATATATATATATATATATATATATATATATATTATATTTATATATACATATATTATTTATATATATATATATATATATATATTTTATATATATATATATATATATATATATATATATAAATATATATATTATATACATATATATCATTTATATATATACATATATATTATTATATATATATATATATATATATATATATATATATATATATATATATATATATATTATATATATATTTATATATAT